AATATTAAATAAAATATTGAATGTATCATATGTGATTATCACTTTCTTTTATGTGTATTTATAAAATAAAAATGTGACTATTGAATGATTCGTGATTTACGTATGATTCTTATTAACATATTTATCATTCCATATTGTACGGAATTAATCGAATGTCAATTAAAAATGAATGATTTATCTTACAAACAAATTAACAAAAAAATCTCATCGAGAATTTGAACAGAAAACGCAATTTTCGAATTTATTAACAAATTTTTATTTTAATATTATTTGGGTTGTCTCTTTATATTTTAATAAATAAAAATAAATTCCTAAAACATAGCAAGTAAATAGAAAAATTCTAACAATATCTCTTTTTTTTTTTAACTACATTTACAAACAAATGATCCTAAATAGATGGGTCACATGTTTTTTAAAATATTTCCTTAAATAGAAAGTCAAATTATTTAATTAAAAAGTCAAACTTTCTATTTAAGTATTTTTCCAACAACCTTTTGATATAGATATAGATATAGATATAGATTATGATATTACGATGAATCTAATGTTCACAGTCAAACGTTGACTTTATAAAATAGTAAAAAAGGTTGTGATTGTGACGTGCCATATCAACTAATGTGGCTTTTTATTTTTAATAACATATTTAACAATAATCAATATAAATTAGGTGAAAAGTAGAATCGTGCGAATGGAATAGGCTCTACATCACATATAGTATATTATTTTTCTGACTAATTAAGAGGAATTATGACATGGGACGTGTTATACGCTAGCAGACTTTACACTTTTTTTTTTTTTTTTAGCCAGTCACAGTATCCGGAGCTATACCTCGACTAATCCGTTAATAGACTTACCACATTGACTCGATAAACAATATTATCGAATATTTTTTTTCTATTTTTTTTTATTGTTTAATTTCGCTTTCCTAAGTCAACATTTTACGCATATGGGCCAGCAAACCCTTGCCATTTCAAACAAATTTATAGTAATAATAATATATACAGTAATAATAATTAAAAAGAAACTCAATAGATGCTGAGGTATAGACAGGTACGTAGAAGCTGAGGTAGACAATGAGAGTATCGTGGGGTTATCTAGATTTCTCGAGGATGTATCGGGGATTCATACGGGCCATGTGTTGGGTATCAATAAACTACTAGGTCGTCCTTGGAACGTTCATCAACTGAAACATGTATACTGTGAAGCGAATTTTGCAGTCTACTATTTGGCTTCCTTCGTTGTGGATGGATCGTTGGGTTATCATCTCTAACTTGTCCCGCCAGATGGAGTTCATCAGTGGCTTCACCATGATCGGATTGGCGTGTCTTATTCGCGATCCGTGGTGCAATATAAGCTGATTGG